ATATATATATATATATATATATATAATAATAATAATAATAATAATAAAGAGTAGGCCCAAAGGCAAATGAAAAAAAAATTAAAATTAAAACCAGAGAAAATTAAAAATAAAATTGAGAAATAGGAGAAAAGAGAGAAAAAAAGGACACTAATGAAGAATAGGCCGAGAGGAAAAGAAAACGAAGCAGAGAAAATTAAAACTATGTAAAACTTATGACGTGTGTACGGGTTAACCAACCGTGGGTGCGGTCGACCAAAATGTGTGTACGGGTTGACCACAGTGTGTACGGGTTGGTATGGGTACGGGTTTGTTTGGGTACGGATAGACCGACACCCCTCTACACGAGTGGTGCAAAAGGCTGGTAGGCCAGTGTAGTCCAGTATATAATATAATGCAATAGCTACTCCGAAGAGGTACGGCAACATGCTTGTCACCCATTTTGTTGACACACGTCACGTGAGAAGTACTGGGTGGTGACGATGAAGCTGCGAAACTACTGGTTCTTTGACGGGCCTGACTCGATAATTTTTAGACCTAACCATTGCAGTACACAATAGATGTGGTCAATTGTATTTACGTGACATACCGTAAGCAACTTGCGAAACATGGCGAAACAGGTAGTGATTTTCGGTGGTTTTTGGCTGTTTTTTCTTTGTTCTCCAATATCCAGCCTTAAAAATTAGCGGAATGTGGTGGTGACATATAGAAGCCCCAGTATGAGATATGACCACATTCATGCCAGCGGTTTCAGAGAAGATAGGGGAAGTTACGCGGTGGCGATTAGCAGAATTAATATATTTAGCCTTACCCTTAATCATTAATGTGAGCCTTAAATAATCTTTTCTTTTATGTCTATAATAATCTATCAACTTTCTGACATTAGCATTAAACTTGGTACGGTATACATAATCTGTATATTGAGTGATTCGCAAAAGCAGTTACAGATACAGTTTAACACTTACCTTTGTTCGTAGAGTCTTATGTGTGTGAATAAAGTCCTCTTTTTTAGATTAAAAATGTTCTCCTTTCTCGTTTTTTCTTAAATGAATACTTCTAATATGTCTATATTATGAGCAATTGTGCTCGGTCGACTGTTGGTCTTGCCTACCACGTAAACAAAATGCTGCCTGTAATTGTTCATAGCAAGTGTCGGTGCAGGGAATTTCCATTATAACTCACTTTCCGGTCGGATCATTAATTGTTAGTTTGAACTTGCACCTTTTAAAAGACCGTGTATTGATGAATGTATGAGCGTTACACGATAAAAGATAAGATACGGAAGTTTGGTTCAATAATTATCTAATGTTTGAGTTGGCATCATGAGAGGTAATCGGTAACCATTATTTTGTGTGGGAGTGTCGATGTGACATTTAGGCCTATATATCATAATGAGGCAAGTCTATTGCAATAATACTGATATTTATACTTTGATTTTATGTTGGTACTTTACACTCAGCGACGTAGCCAAGATATTGAAGGGGTTGGGGAGAGGGCCGTCTTGCGAGTTACGTAGTACAAAGCAGGCGCCTCTCCTCCTAAGGCCGGGGCCTGTCAAGGACCCTCAGTGGAGGTCCAGAGCCACCGGGGAGGTAGCGCATGCTGAACGTTTTTAGGACTGTTTTATTCAGGGATTGTGGACAAACATTTTACAGATAAAGTTAAAATTGCAATAGACGCATAATTATTAGTAGGCCTAACAAAGGCGGTCCACCCACCTCAGGCCCACTAAGGTTGGAGCTCAGGTAAGAAAATGATTATGGCACTCGCAGACTTAAATTTGAATATAATTTTCTTTTTTTCACCATTCGGGGACCCGGGCCCGCTGGCTGGCCTCAACTGAATCCGCCACTGCTCAAAACTTTCTATATTCAATAGTCAAAATCACGAAGTGCATAAAAAACCAACTTCACATCCTGAAAACAAATTTATGTACCCTTCTCTAAGCAGTTACAAGACATTCTCTGAGTGAGGTGCCAACTGGATGGAGTTTAATGTCAAACCCAATATTATTAATAATCATCATTCATCATCATCATCATCATCATCATCATCATTATCATCATTATCGTTATTATTATTGCTTTTTCCCAGCAGATACTGGGAAAAGCCATTGTTTTTGTTCTGATTTTTTTTTCTTGCATATATTTTTCCTATCTTTTTGCACTGTTTTTCTGGCCGTCACTTTGGTTACTTCCCATGCTTAGAATTTTTCCCTGCTTTTCCGAAGCATGGCAGTGATGGCGCCAGGACCTGCCCAGACGGAGGGGCTACAGGCCCCGACGGGGGTACTAGTGGTGCGAATCGAGTCTCACTTGGCTGGGGCCGAAGGCCTCCTAGGGCCCCCGGTGGGTGTCCAGGGGGAGAAGCCCCCTCGAAGCCACGGATATTTGACGAATTATGGCGAATTTTTATTACTTATTTGATAGGCATCGAGCTACATAATATGACTTTATGTAGGCTATATTTTCAATGTCGAAATCAGCTTCCAAAACCAAAACATTTTGAATAAAACAAGAAACAAAGAGAATGTAACCATCTAATTTATTTTCAAATCCTCATCCTTGAAAGTGAAATTCTACATTTTGGAAATTTTGCATGAAATCTCAACCACGATGTCGAGGTCAATGTTGCTTCCCCTATCAAGGTGTATTCCAAGCATCATGAGTCTATCCAAACGAGCATTTGTCATAATAGAACGCAATTTATTTTTAATTAGTCTAATTGAATTATTATTATTATTATTATTATTATTAATTATTATTATTATTATTATAAATTATTATTATTATTATTATTATTGTTATTATTATTATTATTATTATTATTATTATTATTATTATTATTATTATTATTGTGAAGAAATTTTGCATGAAATCTCAACCACGATGTCAAGGTCAATGTTGCTTTCCCTATCAAGGTGTATTCCAAGCATCATGAGGCTATCCAAACGAGCATTTGTCATAATAGAACGCAATTTATTTTTAATTAGTCTAATTGAATTATTATTATTATTAATCATTATTATTATTATAAATTATTATTATTATTATTATTATTATTATTATTATTATTATTGTTATTATTATTATTATTATTATTGTGATGAAGTTAACAAAAATAGTTTAATGGAAGTAAATAATTTTTTATTTGTTTATTCCCCGACAAAATTTACTCGTCTTCCCCGACGGTGGGGCTATAGCCCCCAGCCCCCCTCTAGCGCCACCACTGAGCATAGGCCATATTTATAAGGATGTACCTCCTAATATTTAGTGTCAATCTATGGTAGGGTGTGCGTGTGAGGACCAATTAAAGTGATTTACGGTCAAACAGTCTACACCGGATATTTCAAAAACCGGTAAGTTGATGTGAATGAAACTTACGGGAAAGTTTAATCAAGTTACAAGAAAGAAATCTTCATGTGTTAGTGAGGATCCAGTGAAGGGTGTAAATTTGAGGGTCTTTCAATGTTTGAGGACCTAGACCTAAATATCTCTTTAAAAACAACCAATGGGTCTAAATGAAACATTCTATAATACTTTGTAAATGTCTTGTAAAAAAATTATTAAATTTTTGTGACGATCCGCAGTATGGTGTGAATCTGGGAACCATTTAAAGGAAAACGTCCCAGACCACATATTTCCAAAAAGGATCAACTGATCTGAATAAAACATTCGGAAAAAGTTTAACCAAGTTACAAGGAAGAAATTATTATGTGCTGGCGACGAATCAGTCAAGGATGTAAATTGGAGGGTCATTTAAAAATTTTGAGGACCCAGACCTCTCTAAAATAATCAATGGATGTAATTTCAACCTTGTAGGCCTATAACAGTTTATCAGGGTCGAGTAAAGAAATTATTAAATTTTTGTGACAATCCGGCGTAGAATCCGAGGACCGTTGAAAGGAAAACCTCCCAGACTTTCGAAAAATTTTAAATTGCTTACGTCCCAGTTATAGATGGATAAAAATGATACTTTGCAGAATAGTTTTTCATGGTGAAATGAAGAAATGATCCAATTTTGGTGACGATCCGTCAGTAGGGTGTGAATATGAGAATCATTTAAATATTTTTTGTTGACAGTTGATTAAATTATTTAAACGCAATTTGCGTTTTCTAAAGCGCTTAAACATAGGTCCATGCTTAAACCAATTACAGCTATCTTAAACTCAAAACTACCGTGATATGCATGAACAATTTTTGCTTTCATTCATTGAACTGAAATGCACTTTTCCATACAGGGTCGGCTCATATGGCACGGAACGGTTATGAGTCATGATGTACCTCGCTATTACCATTGCAGTCATAGTTAAAATCTCACTAATAACGTCGCAGTGAACTTGGTTTTAGTTTTTTTTTTTTACTTTATTTTTTCCACTACATTAAAATTATATTGGTTTCCGTGTTTTTTTTACTTTATACCTTTTAACGACTTTTCTTTTTATTGCAATTTCAACTTCATTTCTCATTAAAGCAATTGGGAAAAGGTATTCTGTTGTTCAAACAGACATAGTAAGTCTAGTTATTATTATTATTATTATTATTATTATTATTATTATTATTATTGTTGTTGTTGTTGTTGTAGTAGAAGTATTAAAAAAAACTTAATAAAAGTTTGAAAAAGGATAAAAATTCAATATCACATTTCTGTATCTTAAAAATCCTGGCCTGTGATTTATGGATTGAAGACGAATTTAAGTTGTTTTATTTTAGTTAAACATTTGATAAATCCAAAGCCTTTATAAACCCGAAAAAATTAATTTTTGCAATATCGTTTATATTGAAAATTGATTATTCTGATGCATATTCTAATAGGTTACTATCAGCGTAGCAGGTAAAAAAATTATTGATAAATTATGGTGGGTTTCTATCAGAGAACGGGTTACAAACAATTAGAAATTAGTCAATTAGAAATTGTACAGTATTTAAATCAGCACCAAACTTCGTTTGTTTTTAAATTAGTCAATTAGAAATTGTACAGTATTTAAATCAACACCCAAACATTTTTTTTTTGAATGTGTAATCGCATAAAAAGTGAGACGTCATCATCGCATTTGACTATCACGATCATAGCGTAGGTCAACAAAACGAGTTATAACAAACCATGTTCTATTTAGTGGCGTATTAACTTCCTGGAGCTCTCGTGGGCGCAGCCCTGCTCGCTCCCCCACTCAAAATAGACCCCTGATTTTCTCCAGAGCCTTCTACTACTACCTAGGCTTAACAGACTGTGCTTTTCATGTGCCAGTCCAAATGGCCCCGGAGAGGCCACGGGAGCCCCTCTTACTATTCCAGAAATCTATTTTCCACAATTTTCGAAAAGTAGGAGCCGGCTCCCTCTTACTACGCCCCAGCATTTTACGTGGAACGTGTAGACCAGCTGTGTGACACATGTGTGCTTTCTGAGGCCAACGCTCATTTGCAAGTCCAAATGAGCCCCAGAGAGGCAATTGGGGAACCTCTAGTCTTATAACTATTCAACACCTTTTGACAAAATGGTACACTTCCATCTTAATTTTGAAATATCCCCACTCACCCTAGAATCGGCCTCCACCCTAAAACATCAATAAATAAAGAATTAAATACATGATTACCCCATCATAGTAGGCCTAATACCGTATTAAATACACATAAAACATTTATACATAACATGTTAACATTAAATTGGTAGTGGTGTTATCGAAAGTTAGATTGGTTTGGAGTATGATACGGTACCGTGATCCCTTATTTCTGGACTTCCATTTTCTTCTTTTTTCCGAAGAGGGGGTGGGGTGGAGGGGTGGGTGAGGATCAGCTAGCCCCGTGCTCCCTGGACGATTGATTAATTGAATGAATGATTGTTTGATAATTCTTAATTATTTATCTTCATTGAAATAAATCAATACAATAATTCATGATTAAACATGTAACATATAGTGCACGCTAATGAAATGCACGTGCGCAAATGACGATTTATGTAGACGTAACAATATTACAGGCAAATATTCATTTGAAAAATGTGTATGCAAAATATTAGATGATTATATTTTCCGATAATTAAATAGTCTTTTACATTTGAAACATTTTAACATTAGAATATTGCCATGAGAAAAAAAAGAACAGCTTGACGAATTATTGCTAACTGTAAATGTGGACAATTAAACACTCCAGTGTGGACGCAACATAATTCATCCTATTTAACGCGTTATGTCGACTATTTTGTGACCGAAGCGTTTCAATGCTGCGATTTGATAAGTTGAAATCAGGGGTGGTATTTTCTATATATTAGAACATACATATATCTAAAGTCGATTAAAAAAGCCTTTGAAACCCCTAACTTGTCATATTTTTAGGGTGCTTCCTCCCTGGAAACACTTTCAAGAGAATTTGAGCGACTTTTTTTAGTCGGGGACGTCGGACACATCGTCTTGCAAATTCTGGCGCCACCCTTGGTAGAAATTTGCTCTCCTGATACATTTCAAACATTTTACATATAAGAAAGAACGTAAATGCACTAAAAAACTATCAGCTAATTTTTTTTATCAATTCGATGCAGATGCAAATATCGACGTTACTTTGACGTGAACCCTTCAGACGACCAATCGCACAAAAACGCGGAATTCCATGCACTGTCATGATGTCTATTCCAATTTGCATAGAGAGGGATATATTACTCTGCATTCGCAGAAGGGTACTTCGCCGCAACATAATTTTAGTTAATAATAATAATAATAATAATAATAATAATAATAATAATAATAATAATAATAATAATAATAATAACAACAACAACAATAACAATAACAATAATAATAATAATAATAATAATAATAATAATAATAATAATAATAATAATAATAATAATAATAATAATAATAATAATAATAATACAGGTCTCCCTCCAATTAAAGACCACTTTTAGGACCAGGGTTTTGGTGGTCTTCAGCAGTTTGGTCTCTAATTAGGATCCCTCTAATTAAAGACCGGCACTAAAAATGATCTTAAATATCAATATTTAGAGGGAAATTAAGAAATGATATAGTACATGTAAGGTGCTTTAGAATTGATTTACAGTTTAGATAGGTCTGCAAAAACCACATGACACATTTAGGTTTGAATGTCCTACTAACACAATCAGTATTTAATACGGAGCACTGTGTATACACTAAAATCATTATATTTTAGAGGTAGTGTTTATTTAAAGGGGGAAAATGCCAAAACCATCCCATCCATCTTTTATCTAAGGGTCGGCCTGATTTAACTGACCGGAAAGGATCGTTCTTTGTGACAGTATAAATATGGAGCATGTCATCTTCACTAAAATCACTATTTATATTTTAAAAGTAGTTTTAAAGGTTCTACCAAAATCATTCATCTTTGGTGCCTAAGGGCCTGCTTTCTACTGACGAGAAAGAACCATTTTTTTTTTGTGACAGTAGAAACGGGACCGACAAAAAAGAACTGTTGCTTTTGGCGTCAAAAAGAACGGTTCTTCTGTCTTTTGTTGCCGATCTGATTCAGCTTGCCTGTGGTGTTTCTGGCCAATTTGAATTCTGATGTTTAACTTTTGTATTGTATATTTGTATTCTTGGCTATTTTATTGTAATGCGCATTTGAACATGTTTTAATGTAATTTACGTGATATAAATGAATAAATTAATATTTATTTATTATTATTTTCACGTGTTATTTAGCGTTGTATCACGCAACCGTTTTATGTGGAGTCAAAATGCAGTTGGGACGCGGTTCTTACTCCATCTCGATTTTCATAGAAACATAAGCCTATCCTAATACTAGGCCTATAGCAAAGTCCATGTTAAGATCAAAATGTAATTGCAAAATTCAATGTCTAATTTATCGAAACATAGGCGCAAATTTCTCAAAATGTATATCTAGTTTCCCAAAATGAAGTTCTAATTTTCAAAACGTAGTTCAAATTTTCCAAAATGTAATTCAAATTCAAAATGTAGGTCTGACTTGATAAAACGCTCTCTCCAAATTCTATTTCAAAACGTAAATAAAAAACCAGCCAAGCATGACTGGTTTGAAATAGGGCCTACATTTTACAACAATACGAGACATGCGAAATGTAAATCAAAACTAAAAAAAAAAAAAAAAAAAAAATCACTAGGAGAATTTATTCGTGCGAATCAAAGCGTCGGTTCGCTTCTGAGTTCTGATTGGTTGCGCAACTTTTTTTCGCTAGCAAAAACTCCGATAGAAATGTGAATGCGCATGCGTGCATGAGCCGCCGCTTTCCATTCGCGCGAAAAATTTCGCCAAGTGGAAAACAGGCTTAACGTCGAATGAGATTATTTTTTTTGTTTTCCTATGATACATTTGAAACATTTTGACGTATTGTTGAGAAAACAAACAGGATGACACAGCTTCCATGTTCTGATTGGTTGCGCATTTTTTCGCTTCGCAAAAACTCTGATAGGAATGTGAATGCGCATGCGCATAAACCGACGCTTTAGTGGAAAACCGGCTTTACGTCGACTGGTAGGGTAGGCCTATTTTATAACTGAGCCTAGTCATTGTGTGGGTGTTGTGTGAAAGAGCATGACAGTGGCGTTAAACGGCTATGAGTTCTCACTGGATCCAGGGGAAATCCAGGGGCCCTGGTCCCCTGGCTGGAGCGAACAAGTGCCCCCAGCAATTCAAATATTTTTTTTTACAAACAAATAAACAAGGCCATCTTCCAAGCCGAAGTCTGCCGAGTGATTAGGGCATTTTGATTTTAATTGACTTGTTTTGTTTGGTTTTTAATTGTAATTATGTTTAGTGATAGTTAAGATTAAGTGGCCTATCAATGCTTTGCCGGGTACGTCATGAACGCTAAAAACGCCGGAGCGGCCGGGGAGTCCCCAGACCCCCATTGGGGCCCTTCACGATCCACGGCCCCAGCGTCTGGGCCACTGCCCAGGGACCTCCATCCCCCTCCTTACGCCCTGAAATTTGTATTAATTTTGGACGCACCACCATGTGTGGGCGAGTGCGAAATAATGCAGCTGAGTTTCTTATACATAGACGCCCTCTGGTGCAGGTATCGTATTCATCGAATTGTTGTGAACGAATGTACGACATTGGTGAGAGGGTATAAAATATATCTACCCTAGGTCGTCGTAGGAGACTTCTAGAGAGGTCTTAAACGTTAATTGTGTAAATTTACATTTTTTTCGCTTGGTAGGGGAGGGACCGGTGAAGCTAGGCTAGGCCTATTGAGGATGGTTAGGGGCATAACCTAGTGCCTAGGCCTAGCTAGGTAAAAAAGCAAGTGAGGCTAGCCTAGACTAGGGCCTAGGCTTGGCCCTAGCTAGAAGGCTAGCGTAGCTTATTAGCTAGGCTAGCCTTGCCTTCTTGTTGTATTTGTAGTAGAGCCTTGGCCTCTGTGATGGCTTGGCCTAGCTGTACTGTAGTTTGGCAAGCGGGGGCGTGGTGGGAGGTGGCAACAGAAATTGCCGACAAGGGTTCCGAACCAAGGCGACAATGAAGCTTCATTTGACGGCCTGGAATAAAAAAATCCCTGTTAGCAGTGTTAGGATCCATGGGGAGAGTTCAGGGCACATAGAAAAAATTATTAGAAAATTAGATTATCACTCTTTAAAAAAAAAAATTGTTGAGGGGGGGGGGGCCAGGTTTTTTTAAAAAATAGATTATTTCGCTTTTGTTTTTATCGATGAGGGAGGGACTGTTTATATTTGGTCTGTAATAGTAAATATTGTATAAAAATTGGTTTAAGTTTATAGCTTTTTAAAGAAAATGTATTGGAAGTAACTAAGTTTCATTGTTGATGCGGCAAAAAAAAATTTTTTTCCCGAATGTTTGATGCGGGCGGGAGTGATAATCTAATAAATTTTTTCTGTTTGCCCTTATGGCTTAATTTGGTCCTAAATGTGCTTTTAGACCACAATATTAGGGATTGGTAATCAAAATAGCGTTATTTGGATAGGCAAATTATTATTTTTTAAAATTTTTGGTCCAAAGACCTAGTCGTTCTTCGGATGACAGGGCTGTCCAGGCCTTTCAAAACAGATGGGAATTCCTTTGGGTCTACCTTTAGAAAATTCTTCGAATTTAATATGCAACAAGAAAAATATAAAAAAATAATTCCCTGGTTATAATTACTGGTGAAGAGAGCGATGAGTATTTGGTTGAGAAGAACCCATGCAGGTGCCTATCGAATGGAAATCTAGGGAATCATCTATCAGGCAAGTAGGCCCCTAATTGTAACTTGAAGCTACAGTAGATGTCGATCCAGTTCGCCGGTAAAACATCATCTACAGTATGACGTAACATACACATGCATAAAGAAAGAGGACAGCCTTCCATCTGTGAAATGGTGGATTTTTAAAAATTTTTGGTAGTTTTATCTTTAGGTAGGGGATGACGACCTTCAAAAATGCACAGTCACTGTTGTATGGTTCTTGCCGTCACAATGACATTGACATTGGTGAATCAGTGAAAAGGTTCGTCACTACGATGGGCGAACTTGCATAAAGTAATCACAGCTTTTGCAGAATTCAGATTTCTTTAAATGTGCACACAGAATTCTGGGTCTAAAATATTTAGATAAGAGCGCAAACCCTTATAATCCATAGTGATGTCTAGAGGAAACCAAGACCTTTACACCACTGGACTAGACAGTATAGTAAAATAATAATTGCTGGTCAATCAGTGAGGAAAAACAAACAAAACTAAACTAAAACAAACTTAACAACAAATGGAAATTTTGTGACTGCATCAGAATTATAATCCAAATTTTCATTTCTGATTGCATAGTTGAGTATTGCTGTGATTTGTTTTTTTTTTTCCTTTTGCAGAACACTAGATGAAAACAGTATACTTTATGTGAAGTAAGAATTGACGTTGATAGTTAATATATATTTGTATATCAAGCATGGCAGGTCTCTATGAGGATGATGATGGTGTTACTGGTTTTGAAGTAACAGAAGATGATGTTAAACAAATGCTAGATCCTCAAGGGTCGAGGTACAAGCAATCAAAGGCTAAACATATCTATGGTACAGTATATTATTTATTTTAGTCTATAATGAGCTAAGGTTTTTTTTGATAAATCACAAGAATTTATTTATTTATTTCTTGACTACCCTGTTGTATCAGTGGCAATCACAACATGTGGTGTGGTACAAAAGAAAATGATGGAAAATGATCATATACAAATGTATACTGCCTGCACATGCATGCATGAAACAGGACTAAAAATTTAAGTTGATCTGAATGCATTGTAATTAATGACGTACTAAATAGTATAATAATGATTTCCGACAAAATGGAATAATGTGGTGAATAATTCTCACTTTAGTTTTCTTTTAACATACTCATTTAACATACCTATACTCCTTGTCTATCTGTGGGTGCCACGCTTTCCCCATCCATTCATTGTTATTGTCAAGAATTATTCTGTATGTCTTTTTACATCTGAGAAAACAGAATATTGCCAAAAAAACGTAGACAGAGCTGAAGCATCATGTTTTGACCAAGTCCTAGCTAGTTTTGAAATATACTGTAAAACCTTAAATAGAAGCTCAGTGGGCTTAATATTGAGAAGGAGCCCATCTCGCATTGAATTCCCTCTTTAGTTTGCAAAAGTAACCATAGCACAGTATATACACGGTACATGAATTTCGAAGTAAAAAATAAAATTACGCATAGGTTTATACATAGTTTGAGTAATTTAATGCCGGTTAATATGATACAGATTGATGTAATACAGTGGCCCTAAAATTTACATATTCATTTTGAAAAGAAGCTCCCCTCTTTACTTTGCAAAAGTAACTTTGAAAAGAAGCCTATCTCAAAAAAGAAGCCCATCCAAAGTTTAAAAAAAAAAACCAAAAAACTTCATTTTGAAGTTTTACGGTACGGTACAGGCCTAAAGAAAGTAAGCATACAGTAATGAAATATTATACAATTAATGAATGTTTATGAATGTGAGTGCAACAATGGGTAGAATATTTCTTGAGGTGAAAGATTGGATGTTCTATTCAATAAGGCGTAGACCAGTTGAATAGGACATCCAATCTTTCCCCGAATGAAATATTCTACACCATTGCACTGATAAACATTCATTATTTGTTTTGTACAACACCTAGCTGTATTTCTCCAGATCGCTTGCATGTTCTCTCCGAATACAAGGACCCATCTTCCTTTCGAAGGTCAGCATAAAACCAGCTTAGGCCCTAGGTCTAGGAATCGGTCAAGTTCAGGTTCGGCTAATAATAGACTCAAATCCTCACCACAGAAGCTGGCGAATTACTCCATATGGTTGACTGCATATTTTATTGCCTTTGTTGTTGATTTGGCATAACTTTCATTCAGTAATTCCTACAAAACTTCTTTCGCTCAAAAGCACAAATGGCCCCGTACCAAATGAACCTGTAGAGCGGGGGCTGCTGAATGACCAACTCCTTGTTGACTCATGGGTTGCCTAGGCTAGGCTAATTTTTCTCACTCGTGTTGCATTTGAGGATTTTGTCGTCTTGGAGATGAAAAAATACCATTCAACGATCGTTGACTAGTACTCAAATAACCATGGGATATTCATTTTAAATCAATCTCACGTGACTTGTTTTCAACCAATCAAATTAATAAAATAATACATGTGGAGTCAATATTTATTTGAGTCGAGGGATAAGGACTAGCGTACACAATTTGGCTCATGTGCACTTAAAGAACCCGGTACATCTTTCGAGACGAGTGAGAGGTTACACTGGTGTACTGGTCTATATAGCCCCTGTTGTTGCCAGGTGAGAGTAGCTTTTGGTACTAGTTTACCGGGTTGCTCAGACACGAAATGTCACACTTTTTTTAAGCTGATTACATCTGTCCATGCACTCATGTTGATATTCAAAATGTTTATAAGGAAATATTTTGTCGGAAAGCTTTGGTTCTTTCTGTCTGTTTTACATTTATATATGAGCACTTAATTTTGTATCTCAATCTAGATCCTGTCATTGTTCACCATCCCTGTTGTTGTTCTTTATATGTGGCAAAGACAAGCCAAACCAGTCACTCTTCTCAAATCGTGTTTCAGAGAAAATCGCCAAAACATGCTGGAATGTCAAATTTTAAAAAATCTATTTTATTGCACTAAACTAATCTTTACATATCTAATGATCTATACATCATTTTATGCTGTTATTTTCCCCATTTTCAATGTTAAAACAACACTTTTTAAGGATTTGATGATAGTTTCTGCATGAGAAATGCCTGAAATCATAAACTTTGAAGGCTGATTTCTCATATATTGTTCTTTAAACAGCTGTATGTTTAACATGCTTGTAACTTCATAAGGAAATGCCGGATTTGAATGATTTTTTTACCATTTTATAGCTATTATTTTACTCTCTAACACTGTATTTATAACTCAAAATCGATTTTTGCGACGACTGACTGGTTTGGCTTGTCTTTGCCACATATTCTTTAGTGTAATGTATATTATACTGCAGCTTGTATTGTTGATGGGCAAATTATGTACTGCTGTTGGCTTACAATTTAAAATGGGTTGGTATTGGTACCAGATACCATTACTGCATGATTTGCCGCATGTTATTTTGAAATACTGTACAGGGACTGAAATCTCCCAGATAATAATCATAACAAATTTATCATATACATTTTTTTATTTTTCTCAAGGTATTTGGGCTAGAGATAGTGATGAAGAGGAAGAGACCAGAACTGGTTTTGGAATGGGAGGCATAAATAAATCCGATTTGGTAAATGAAATGAACTTTATTACGGGAAGCATGAAAAACTCAAACGACAAACAGGTAAGCATGCTTCTTACTATGGCAATATGCTAATTACAGTAATCATGAGCTTTTGATCAAGTATCGTAGTAGGATTAGAAATGATATGATTGTCAATTTTTGACAACAACAAGAATTGATAATGAGGAACAAAAATACCAGTTTCTTCTAAATTAGTAGAATTGGTTTGGCACAGAAATGAACAGTTCGTTTTCCAACCACAAGGTCAGGGTTTCAGTCCCTGGCTGTGCATCTTTTTTTTTGTTTCCATAAGCAAGGCACTTTAACTGCATTTCTTCTCTCCACCGAAGAGTATACATGGGTACCTGGTGGAGTTGCTTGCTCCTGCGTTGATAACAGTAGGAACACTTAAGCATATGGACCCAATGATCCGAGACATAAGCACTTTGTATCTGCAAAGAAAGGCGCTCTATAAATAAACAAATAAAAAATAAATAAAAATAGAAAAAAAAAAAACCACCCAAACTTATAAATCATGGTATAGACTCTATACAGTATTTATATTTGTCTTTATCTTTAATTTGTATTGAAGAAGAGTGAGGAGAGAAAGACGGAGGCCAAGGTGAGGAATCTGGTGATGCAAGCAAATGTCGTAGTCGAACCAAAATCAAACAAAGGACGCACGAATGCTGAAGTACGTCACGCAGAGTTGATGCAGCCCGACAAGCACATGGGTAACTGGCAGAAACATACCACAGGAATTGGTGAAAAGCTAATGAAAGAAGTAAGGGTTGTTATGATATTCATGTACTGTTAAATTTTAAACATGCGTTATATACCAACTTTCATACAGTAGTGCACTAGTCAATTGTAGTCTCACCCCACATAATAATATTGAGATAATAATATTTCCTTTAAAAAATTATGTTTTTTATTTTAGTTATTTGTGAAGATGGTTCAGCATTCTGTGCCTTAGTAAAATTGGTTACATTATTGTTTCTGTAAAATCAAATATAAAATATTATTTATTAATTTATGGATATTTTCAAATTGTTCGTTTCAGATGGGATATATCCCAGGAAAGGGATTGGGCAAGGACAACCAGGGAATAGTGCGGCCAGTGGAGGCCAAGAAAAGAGCAGGGAAAGGGGCCATTGGGGCGCATGGTCCTGAAGGAGTTCGGATATCCAGGCAACACAAGGCAGTTGATGCAGATGAAGAAGAAGAAAAGGAATTTAGAAAAGAATTACAGCAGTGGAAGATTGGTGCTGTTGAGGTGAGAAAGAGTGAAAGTGGAAATTACATGTTTATTCAATTTAACACACTACAGTTCTTTATTTCCTCTCCTCAGATGAACTCCTCGGAGCCAACGACGAACCATGCTTTAGTTTAAGGAGTAGGTTTATAGTTTCATACGACAACATCAACTTTTTCCAGAATGTCAATCACTAAGCGCGTAGAGGCTTTTTAGCATGATGCGCTATATAAATCCAATTATTATTATTATTTATTATTATTGTCCTTTTGTGATAATAATGACCAACAGGCAGTAGGCCTACCATCTAGTGTGTGTTGTAATGTCTGATGTTAAGTTCATCCAACATAAAATTTCTTAAACTACAATACTATTAACAACATAACGTTAGGTGCTGTTGGGAGGGATTAATTTGAAGCTCTTGCAAGCAGATTCATAAAATTTTCTTTTTGTTATAAACATATTTATCACTTGCATTCTTCAGACAATGCTGGTCTGCATGTGTTTTGCCCTCTTAGTAATTTTGTGTGTGTCACAAATGATCATCTCCAACTGGATAACCATTCTCGCAAAATATTGTTGGTATATGTAAATAACAAAGAAAAACAGTGGTATAAAGACAGTCATTATGCAACTTATTTCTTGTTTCATATTTAGACAAAGAAGAAACCTTCCTATGTTTATAAGACAGCCGATGAGGTCATTAAATCTGGTAAGGTCAAAAGAAAGAAAGTTTCTGCTGGTGGAACTGCTATCACTGGGGTGAAGGTGATCGATATGACAGGCCCTGAGCAGCGTGTACTTGATGGATATGGTCAAATTGGTCAGCAGCATGACAGACCTGAGGACACGTTTGATTCATTGGCAAATGATGAGCGAGCTTTTGAGATGCCAGAGTTACAACACAACATTGATCTGCTAGTTGATATGGCGGAGCAGCAGATCATACAGAATAACAGACAGTAAGATATTTCTTTATCATCTTAAAGCTACGGTCACACTACAGCCTCAAGTCTGGGTTAACTCAGTACGGTTGAGAAATCTGGAGTCTGAACCAACCTGGGTTGAATCATCCCTGGCATAAAATTGCTCTCAACCCAGGCAAGGTATCTAGGTTGACCCTGGGTTGACAGAGAATTCCAAAATGTGACCAATCACAGCTGCCAAAACAATGTTTATGTGCAAGGATTTCTACTCTCTGAATTAGGTCAACCTACTGTCAACCCAGGTAAGTGTGAACACTGGATATGTTTATGTCAGGCATGAGATCTCAACCCTACTGAGTCAACCCATGCTGCGGTTCTAGTGTGGCCATACCTTTACACTGGTGGTAGCCACTGTGTGCGCTGAACTGTGACAATCATTTCAAGTCTCAGGTTTCAGGTGTGTTTCAGTTGGAGAGCTGAAATACTAGTTACGATAAAGCTGGGTACTCACTGCTTCTTACGACGGTTGTACTCCACGACTCCAACTTCGCTCCGTGTAAGCTCTAGTCATCGCGACGCCATCTGCTGATTGTCGTTGGCAGTCTGACCTTATCGTCATTATTAAAAACAATGCATTGTGCGCACGTAGTAGCATTGCATTCTATATAAAATCGCGTCGTTCGACGTTCAAGTTAAATACACAGTACACTCTTAAGGCCAACTCAGACAGTGTCGGTACACTCTTAAGGCCAACTCAGACAGTGTCGGTACACTCTTAAGGCCAACTCAGACAGCGTCAGTACACTCTTAAGGGTAACTCAGACACTGTCAGTACACTCTTAAGGCCAACTCAGACAGCGTCAGTACACTCTTAAGGCCAACTCAGACAGCGTCAGTACACTCTTAAGGCCAACTCAGACAGCGTTGGGTCTTTGTGAGTTAAACACTGACTGGATAGGTCTGCATCAGGGATAGTCGCATCGTACAATATAAAACTTGTTTAATATTCTCCCGACAATAAAATATGTTAGACTGCATCGTACGACATTGTCTTATTTCGTCTTTAGAAAAAGAGTTATACTTTAGTATGTTTTCCAATAGTATAAATTGCCCAAGAAATTCATCAATTTGTTAATATTAATATAATTATTATAGTTCTAGTTTCATGTATGATTATTACATGTGTAATTATATCTTTTTTTCCTACTGTTCAGATTGCAACATGAACAGGACATGATTGTGAACTTGGAACATGAGAGAAGGAAGATCAGCGGCGTACTGGAACAGGAGAGACAACAGGTCACCCGTCTCAGAAAGGTCATGGAAATGGTTGAAAGGTCAGTATGTAGAGTTTACTGATTTTGATATATATTTTTTATCTAGTAGTGGAAGTTTAATTCCATTGGTTGAAGAAATGCAAGATACAATAGTGCATAGTCTTTTAGATAAGCCATTTACGCCATTTGTGTTCTATGTGGTACATGTGCATGTTAAAAAAGCAATACACTTAAAAATTGTAGGGAATAGTCTCTCGGTGATCTGTAAAATACGCAATTCTCTATAATAATTCATTAAAAAATTAATTTAAAGTAACAGACAATACTTTTATATGAATCCATTAAAAATGGTAATGTAATTCAATTTTCAGTTTATTTATTTAAGTACCACATGATAAAAAACATATAACACAATGGCCACATAACAAAAATTGAACACAAACTCACCCACCATTTGTCCTGGGGAAACCTGGGCATACTGTAACAAAACACCATCGTGGGTCCCAACCAAATGTAAGCTCACCTTCAGATAAAATCATATAAAATACTGTAGACGTAACAGACTGCATTAAGTAATTAAAATGCAATAATTAGAAATGTTTGTGAGCTAATTCTTGTCTCATTCCAGTCTGTTTTTTTAATTACATTAAACAATGACAACTTCTGAATTTTTTTTCTCATAACTATACATTTTTTTGTTATTGTGTTAAAGGGTTAAAGTCCTCTGCATTTTACATTACTATACCAAATATTCCAGACCTGATGGATAGGAGTTCATGATCTTGATTTTCCTTAACAGAAATTCTTAACTTTTTGATTGAAAAGTAACATTCTGATTATTTCAAGAGTGAAAACCAATATATTCTACACTCCCCAATCCCTATAATATATTTGTGTTTATATATAAGTAATTACAGCTTGTAATTGGAGAGTCAGACTTCTAAATCAGGGGTGGGCATAAAAATTAGTCGGAGGGACAAAGTGAATTTTAAATTTAATACCGAGAGCTGGACCCAACCTTTGATATTTCCAGTGACCTTTCAAAAACCTCTAAGTACTGCTTTTACAACATTTTGTTCTCAGTTTTAATGTTACATTTTACATATGATCGGTGTCCGGCCGTAAAAAACAAGGTGTTTTCTAGTTAATGTTGCTTGGCGGGCCGCACACAGGGTTTTTAATTCATTTTCGCGGGCCGCAAAAAAATCATATCAGGCCGCACTTTGCCCATCTGTGTTCTAAATTTAAACCCCATGTCTTCTTTTATTTACTAACAAATCAATAATTACTTTTACATTTACAGGTGTGAAGAAAGCTGTAAACCGGGTTCTGCAAACCCTCTTTCTCTGGCCGAATGTGAGGTAATTTTCAAGGAACTACAGGTGAATTATGTAAATGAGTACAGAGCATTTCAGGTTCCTCAGATTGCTGTAACAGTCATATTTCCTTTGGTGAGTATCAATTATTATATTAAATAAATATTAAATATTAAGTGTTGTGGCGGGTGGTTGGGGTGTTGGGGGGTGGGTGGTTAATGCGATTGGCAGAGAGTTTTTATAAATTGATAAATAGATGTAAATTAATAATTAATATAGTAAATATGTAAAGATAATTAAACATCAATGTAACAGGTACAGAAGAAACTGTCTTTCTGGGACCCAATACGGAGCAGCGAGTTACACATTTCTTTGTTTGAAAGCTTGAGGGGATTTTTGGATAATAGGGAAAATCGTATGAAGTTGCCATCTGGACACATCATCACCGTCTACGAGAGACTGATGTGGGAATTATGGATGCCCATAATGCGGAGGACAATCACAAATTGCAACATCAAAAATTGTGACCAAATTATTGGTATGTGTGTATTTTATCTTTCAGTAAAATTAAAACCTAAGAATCGTGACATAATAATATTCCATTTTCGACCGTGGTCTGGGTGCAAATTTTTTACTCTTATTTAAAATTAGAAAATTGTAACAATCCTAACATGAACCTTGATCTATGACCAAAATCGCACCATACTTGTATGTAAGATTGTTAAATAGTAGGCCTAAATTTGCAAGAACCAGCATAAAAGAGTATTCACTCTTATCTCGCAGCAGGTTGGTGATCATGGGCACTATCTTTCCTATGTTCTGCATTAATCAGACATGATTAAGAGTTTTTACATGTCAGGTATTTTATGTTGCCAAACCATTAGGCTCTCAGCCATCCTTTGCTGCTCTTAATTTTGAGTTTGCCCTCCAATAGTTGTCTGATTTGAGTTGCGTCTGGTATTATGATATTCAACACATAGGGAGCCTATTCTATTTTTTTTAATGGTCATTGAAAAATATCTCTTGTCATTTGCTTGTCATTACTTAATTTAATTTCTGTTTTTCCATGTTATTCCTAACATTCTGTAGAGAATTCACATACAGTAATGTCCTTGTTTCTATCACCACAAAAAAAGTGTGGCGTGTAGCATTTTTCCAAACTTTATCTTGGGGAAAATATACATTCCTAAACATAAGGCTTGATGCCATGTTCTAATAGGCTTCCATTGCGATGTACAGTATGTTAGTTTGTCACTGTTACACTTAAGATAATTAAGTCTGATGGTAGTGGCACTTGAGGATATTTTTGAAATATGTATTTACCTGTGCTCTATAGAGTCTCACTAAATAATAGCTTTTAATATGAGCTGTGCCATCACAAAACCAGCATACTGTCCTTTAATGTTAAGCTGAGAGATTAGCATAAAAATATTGCCGTATTGTATACTGTATTTCAGTAAATGACCTATCGTTTTAAAGATAGTGTGGAGAATATGATTATGAATACTAATACAAGTCAATAGCCTTGTTTTGGTCACTGCTGGTGTTTTTGCATGGCAAGCCCCATATGTTGACATTCCACCACTGTAAATCATTTTGAAATTTCTCGCTTTCAGATCTCCTCAAAGTCTGGGCTCCATTGCTTCCAAGCTGGATCATCATTAACATCCAGGATCAGCTGATCTACCCCAAGCTGCAGCGGGAGGTGGATGATTGGAATCCATTAACAGATCCAGTACCAATCCACTCCTGGTTACATCCCTGGTTGCCTTTCATGGGTAAGTAAAATCCCAAAGAAATAGTTCTATTTCCAGGAAATTGAAATCTCGGACCAAGTTTTAACAGCTCAGTTGTACTTAATTGCCTAGTACAGTACTCAATAATTATGTAAAAGCAAAGACTCTATAGTCTGCTTTTGTCAATTTACCCAAGTATTTTTTTTTCTTGCATATTAGCTCTGTAATGAATTTAAATTCCATGTTTTCCTGGACCAATTTTTAACAACTCATCCACTTCATTACCTAGTACTTGTTAATTATTTAATATTATTATTTATTTATTTATTTGTGACACTTCACCTGTGTATCGGTGGCACTCACAATCAGTGGTGCGGTCTTACAAAATACACAAAAGAAAAAGGAGAGAAAATCTAGTTAAAACTGTCTATAGGTTGCTTATTTCAATCTACCTATTTTTATTTTTTTATTTGCTTGTGTATTTTTTGGCTTTGTGCATAATTCTGAATGCATACTATCAACTTTGATAATATACTTTAGCTCAGCTGGCTAAACTGGGGGTAACCACTGTGTGTGCACTGAACCTTTGAGAATTCTCATCCCTTCCCTCCTTGTATTTTGGCCGGAGGGATGAAGTACAAGTAAGCGGACCCAAAGACCAGGGAAAAACAAGTACGAAAACGTACCGCCTTTCGTATGAAGCAGTTAAGCCTTTGGTCCTGTGTGCATTATGACCCATGCACACGTTAAACACGCAGTATACTCTTCGGAAAAGAGTGCTGGTGTACTGACCAATCACAAAATACCCACTGGAAATATGAGACTTCAGCCCTTTCGTGGGTTATCTTAGGTGTTTACATCAAACAAATCTATCCATCCATTCATCTCTTAACAGAACTTAAATTGGAGCCTCTCTATGTACCAATTCGTCAGAAGCTAGCCAGCTGCCTGATCAACTGGCACCCAAGTGATGCCTCCGCTAAGACCATCCTGATGCCATGGAAACCGGTCTTTAACAAAGGATCCATGGGAACGTTCGTTATCAGGAATATTTTACCGAAGTTGGCAATCTGCTTGCAGGAGTTTCTGATTAATCCCTACCAACAGCGCTTAGGTATGTTACATTGTTTTTTAACCCTTGGAACCCGAAAGGCCAGAAAAACTGCCGCGTGCTTACATTGCAATTACCCTAAAGGCCAGTATACCGGCTTTGCGGGTCAGGTGACGTTTTTGGGGTAATCACCTGACCAGTATGAGTAATATAACGTAATTTTGTGACATCATCATTCCCAAGTCGTTCTGACAGCCTCGTACGTGTTGATTTAAAAAAAAAACCAAATTTATATTGAATAATTTGACAATAAATTTCAACGGTGCTTTACGATTGATACTTTATGACTCCCAATGACGATTATACAGGAAGTGAGGTAAACAGTGCAGTTTCTAGCCCTAGGCTAGGCCGATCACGATAGTGCTAGTGCCAGCAGTGGTAGTGATGATAGTTGTGCGTCGGGTTGATGGATGGCTTTGGTAGCAGTACAGGGCCTAGGAGGTGGTGGTGATAATTGTTATAAAAAAAAGCACATTTTGTCCAAATAACTGAGGGTGAGGGTGCCGCAAGATGTAAATAATGCAGGGTTCAAAGGGTTAAAAAGAAATATTACGTTGAGTATGTCATATATTTTACACATTACAGGGGCGGATCCAGAAATGTCCAAAGTGGGGGGGGGAACCGAAAGTTGGGCCGATTGAGACAACACTGTCGTAGGGGTCCGGGGCATTCCCCCGCGAAATGTTTGTGTTTTTTTTTTTTTTTTTTTTTTTTTTTTTTTTTTTTTTTTTTTTTTTTTTCCCAGGGGAAGGGGGGGGGGGGGGGGGGCCGGAGCCGGGCTGGCCCTGCATTACAACATATAGTAAAGGCGGTACTATAGGTAATTAAATACAGGTTTCCCTCTAATTAAAGACCACTTCTGTGACCGTGTTTCCATGGTCTTTAGCAGCTCAACAGTTGTTACATTGGGACCACAGAAAAATAATCTTTAATTGGCAGTGGTCTTTAATTGGAGGGGTCTTTATTTGAGTCATACCTGTATCAGAAAGTGGATACTATGTGAGTCATTACAAAAATGATGTGTGGTACTGTATAGTTCCTCCATGTTATTGTTATTTATATGTTTTACATAATCAGTGTACATACTTTTAATTTAAACTGTACTTGGTTTTGCCTCTGTAGAGCTAATGGCTGCACATGCCCATTACTGCCACACCAATAGCTTCTCCCAAAACACTAATAAAGAAAAAATTCACTGCTCTTATACAGTAATATCTGCAATATCTACATAAATGACATTGCTTAGTTAAATATTCTTCAGTCATCAAGAGATTGTTATTGCCAGACATTTAATAAAGAGAACAAACGATATAAGTTTTCATCTCATATTGGTGTTTAATTCTTCTTTCACCTTGTTTACGCATTACACAGACATGTTTCGGAAAACCAATTTCCATCATCATTAGTGTGAAGCTAGGGCGTTAGGTTAACGTTATTTATAACTACTTTCACCGTGTATGTAAATTAGATGATACACTTATCCTAACAGCTGACAAAACAGAGTATTCAGTCATCCCAGTACATAGCTGTTGATTATCAGCCACAAAAGAATTTGACGCAGCAGGAATGGTTTGGTTTCCCAACCTTGAGGTCAGGGTTTCAATCCTTCGCTGTGCATTTCGCTTAGTGTCCTTGAGCAAGGCACTTATATGTACTGTATACTGCTTCTTTCCACTCGGGAGTATAAATGGGTACCTGGTGGGGTTGCCTGTTCCTGCGCCAATATGGCAGGAACACTTAAGCATGCGGACCCAAAGACCAGGGAAAAACTTACAGCACTTTGTATCTAAAGAAAAGGTGCTATACAAATTACCAGATTAGATTAGATTGGGCCCCTGTGTTCCACTGACACTCTCCACTAGTTTAGACATACAGTATACCTAAAGTAATAACCAATCGTGTAGACACATTAATTTCACATACTTGCAGACATAATCCAACATAATGCTCTTAAAATGTCTCTAGTGCTTTTGTTTGAAATGCCATGTTGATTGTCAGATTATAGAAACTCTAAGTATATGACAACTGGCAAAATGTTATTCATCCAATCTTCAACAACACTGTTTTCCTAAGAGATACATGTTGAAATATTAACCAGCACAATATTGTGTTGAATTTAAGTTAGAATACAGCATGTAATTAAGGATACATAAGGCTAATATATTATTACCAAAAATACAGAAATTTTACAGAAAAATGCTGTGTAATACAAAGCATTGTAGAGACAAACAACATAAGTGCAAAGTAAAGGTTTAAATTCATCAAGAAAGTATAATACATACTCCAAGTATTGAAATGCATGGCATCGTGTTGGGATTCAATATTTCGACATTAATTATGTCATCATCAGGTGATGACATAATTAATGTCGAAATATTGAATCCCAACACGATGGCGTGCAAATTCATCAAGAGTTCTTTAAAGAAAAAAAAATCATTCTTAGACATTAGATTGGCAACCAAATATTTTTTCTATAGATAGTTAATTTGATTCAAGGTTAAATATTAAATGTATTCTCATCCATATCTGGAATCTCCATTGCTTACATACATACATGCATACATGCATACAAAACAGCATTCACAATGTAACATTATTATAATAATACATTTAATTTTAATGAAAATTCATAGTGTACCTTAAAATGAAAATTTGTAGCTTGTATATTCAAGATGCTTACATTACCTAGTTTGAAAGTACGAAGTCACCTTATAATATATTTTTATTTCTTGAAAAAACAATTAAACCAGGATTCTTGTTACAGGTGATGCCATATTTCACGGACCCACTAGGCTGGTGTTATCTTGATCAGCCCCCATCTTTCCGACATCTCTGAATCCGCCCCTGTTAGAGAGTAGAGTTGATTTTAGTCATTAGAAAAAATTCTGGTGTTGAATTATTCGAACTTATGACCTGGATATTAGACAGCATGCAACTTTACCATTAAGCTGCGGTTCCACACCAATTTACCATTTAAACAACATTCAGAACTGCTCTTTTTTTCAGAGCCATTTCATTGGGTAATGTCATGGGAGGAATTGACACCACTACCGAGCATGGTGGGCTTACTTGAGAAGAACTTCTTTCCTAAGTGGTTGAATGTCCTCAATACTTGGCTGGGTAACAGCCCAAATTATGATGAAGTCACCAATTGGTACCTAGGTTGGAAAAGATTGTTCTCTGAAAACCTTCTGGCACATCCTACCGTTAAAGGTAAATTAAAATTTATTTTTAAAACTCATTTTTAATTATGTCTGTTATTATAAATACTGTATAATTTATATTTTTTAGTCATAGGTTATGAATTGTCTTTGAGATACACTTGGAATGAACGTTTTTTTTTTTGTATATATATATGACTTTTATATTCACCTTTATCATGTTTCTGTGTCCTTCTTTATGGGGCTCCAAGGGAGAGAATTTTAATTTCACACCATGTCATATCATCAACAATAAAATTGCTTTAGACTTGTAGAGTTACATGTAGAGCTTACATTTTCCAATATATAATCTTTTTCATAACATTTGCTGCAACACATTTTTAGAAAAAAAAAAATGTTTCCATTTTAGAATATTTCAACCGTGCTCTGGATTTGATGAACCGTGCCGTTTCAGGAAAGTTCACCCCAGGTATTGACAACATGCAGTATAGGACGAATACAGACCATAATAGGAAACAGGCTGAAGCAATTGCAGAGGTAAATATGACTTCAAGGGTCATGCTACAGTACTTATAGTTTGTTGTAGTTGTTAAAGGTGTGAGGATGAGAAAGAGGTTGGGGTAAGGAGGAATAGGAATTTCTGATTGATATAGAAATATATCTTTCCTTTGGGAAGGGGTATAATATGTATGCCATCTCTGTTCTTGGGTATGGACTGTGGTGGCTTTGTATGATATACTTTCGGAGGTTGGTTGGTGGGAGCGGGAAGCAAAGCTGTCTCACGACAGTTGATGTAGGCCTTGTGAAATTCAGGAGCATAGCCCTGGTGAGGATCTAGTTTTGATTCTTGCGCCAAGAAAATGAAAAATAAGTAAAATTTTCTTTTTAGGTCTGAGTAGTTGATGGGGACTTGGCCTCTTTGATACCAACCTGTCACCCCCGCTGGCACTGCCACTAGGTGTCTGTGAATTTATTATTTGCTTTATTATAATTAAATTTTTTTCTTTCAGCGTGAAAGAGGTGGTTATGGTTCAGCGGGTATTACAGTTCCAACAACATTTAGAGATCTGGTAGAGAAAAAGGTAATAAGACTAAAAATTAATCAAAATTCTTTGTCTACATTCATAAATAGGTTTATTACCAAAGAGTATAGAAATTCAAGAGGTCCAACTCTCAGAGTCTCGTTGGAACACCATTCTATCTCAAAAAGTATTACCACGAAGTAGAGGGCGTCCTTCGAAAGAACGTAAAAAGTGTTCGTATCAGACGTATTCAAACTTTAAGAGGATACCCCTATCTCATTTGTAGTACTTTATTAACATTATTATGTATTACATTCAAATAATAGAGTAATGACTTATATCAGTATTAACAGAATAAGATTATAATGCTACAGATATCAGTAAATGAAAACGTTCATTCACAACAACATGAGTTATATGAATGAAAATCATCAGCACGTATCTATGCTGTGTATTGTAATATAAGCCAGAGACAATTTAATGATATATTTAATACACAAATCATCTTTCCAGGCACAAGAGCACGGGTTACTTTTTTGTATTACTCAGAGACGGTTCGAAGGCAAGCAAATCTACGCTCTTGGGCCACTGATGACTTATATCGAACGTGGAGTGTTATTTGTCCAGGACCAGGGACGTTGGACTCCTATGGCATTACAGAGAGCGATCGAAATGGCGGATAATAGCAGCTGATAGAAACAGCACTAACAGCACATTGAGAATAACACACCTTCATGTAGGGCATTTACGCATTTGCTTTAACTATGAAAATTATCTTATCTTGGGCGAGGCACTTCAAAAAATTTATGTTTTTGACATAGTATGCTTATTACGACTTACAACATTATGAAGCTCGGTATTGTTCCAATTCTTAAGGCCATGTAATATTTATTTTGATGTATTTTTATATATATAGAAAATATAGAAAAACATCACAGCAAGGCTTTTCATTCCTAATGCTCTTCAAAGATTAATGATTTATGTGATAATTAATTTTACAAAATGTGATGGAGTTGTTATTGTACTAACCATGCATGTAAGATTCATTGTGTTGTGACAATTCCTGGTAATAAATAAAATGTAACAAGATACTAAGAATTAATGATGAATAAATGAATACTGAAACTATAATTTTTAATAATATTTAAAGCACGCAGGAGCATGTAGGCATATCAGACTAGGTGAGCTTCGAAAGTCTATTTGCCTTGGTGAGATGAGCATCAGCCTTGGTCAACAACTCATCTAGTTACGATATCGAATAACCCGTTGGTGTTTTGGAAGATCATCCAGTCGTGAAACTCTTGCTGCAAACAAAAATGGAATGAATGAATAACTATTGAAAAATATATATGTATATATTGAATAAACAATAAATAAATAATGAATACATAATGAATAATAAATGATTGTGTATGGCATTTATGCATTAAATAACACCCAACATATAATTATCATCTTGGAAAAACATGTAACTTGATATTCTTTCTAGTATGTATTAATTTTTAGCATTGTAAGCATGGTACAGTATTTTAACTTTTTTTCAAATCATGTATTATCAGCAGCAGGTAAAGAAGTTTCTCTCAATACAAATTACAAAACCAGAACACCTCTCCTTTATTAAATACAGGTAATTTCATCTGGGAGAGGCTTAATCATACAGCAATTTAAAACCAACTAGTAAGCCCCAAGGACTGTTTCGATGGCATATATCAGGAATATAAACATGATGCTGAATTTTGTGACACCTAAATATAAGTCACTATAATGCTTGAGGATGTTGCCCTCATGTGTAAACTCATAACATTGGTAAAGTCCCCATGCACGGCAGCAAAACTATTGCTTGAGGCTTGGCAGGTATTATGGTTATGTCACGGTTTTTTTGTATTATAACCTACTTTAATTATAGTAAAAATTAATAAGCTAATTCGTAGTTTGAATTGCGCATGCTCGTATAAAGGTGAATCGACATAAACTAACATACACACAACATTGGTTGATGTTAATGGACCTTACAGGCATGTGCAGATTTCTGGTCTAAAAAAATTGGATTCAGTGTGACTTCGTCAAAATTTACCAACTTTGAACACTGATTTTTGAAAAAAAAATTTTTCAATGTTTACAGACATTTTAAGTTTAATATCCTTAAAACAGACTTGCATCCAACTTACGGTGTCTACAGAAAGTAAGAAATTCAAATATTGAATTTGCTTATAATATAATTGATATTGATAAACTGATTTTATTCATTTATACCAAATACAAATTATCAAGTAAAGAAGAAACAGGTGTCTGGAAAAGTACCATGTATGTCAGCATAAATGCCAAGTTACAATTTGCAGGCGGGAGATTTTGTTTTAAAAACCATCCTTTTTTAAGCACTGTAATAGTGGATATTTAACGAGAGAGTAACAAAGAATACATATATTTTCATATAGCCAATATTACATTTATGCGCGAGATTTTGGTCCTCAAGCGCGAGACTGCAAATGCGTGAGTCTCACACCGGGTGCGTGAGCCTTGACTGTATGTGTCAGTCAGTCAAATATTAATTTATTCCTGAAGATGAACAAATAGTTTATTCAACTCCGAATTCTTGTCCATCCACTCCAGTCCCCCTGTATTGTGGAAGCAGTGTTCCCTAAAAACCATTTGCGGTTGAATGTTGTCATTCAAATTGGCTGTGCATTGCCCATATTTCTGTGGCTGCAACACAACTCAAGAGCTAATGTGTAGGGTGGTATGATGGTTCGACACTGAAGTTTGCCTATAGAGTACCAGAGTCATGTTGTCACAACACCAGGCGGTGCCCTCTGTTGTCAACAAACGTTGGTTACCGTTCAATACGCCTGAATGACTTAATAGGCTTCCTGAAATAGGCATTTTGAAATCTAATATTTTACCATCAAAATGTATTAAAACACAAAATTCGTTATCGAACACACATTTAATCATCAATTAAAATTTACAAAGCAAAAGTAAGATACAACATCTTAATTACGTTAGCGCCTTGAGCACTACTGCAGTGGATTTGTGGGCTTTATAAATCTTATTGTTATTGTTGTTGTTATTATCAATGGTTTGTCAGTGGAGAAAATGGCATCTGGTTGAACGCATTTTGTAACAATAGCAACAGAGTAGTATCGCGTGGTATCGTGCAGTATCGCGTGGTAACACTGCAGTATTCTATATATATGCAATTATTTAAAACTGGGAAAAAAGGTGAAAGCACCTTTTCCCACAATTCTTAAAAGTATTCAAAAATCTATTTCTGTATCGTCAAATATGCTTTTTGTGTCTTAGAAAAATAAGTTGTACAAAAAAAAAAAAAAATGGCAAAGACCAGCCAAACCAGTCACTCGTCGCAAAAATCGATTTTTGTGTATTAATAGTGTTAGAGAGTAAAATAATAGCTATAAAATGGTAAAAAAATCATTCAAATCATACATTTCCTTATGAAGTTACAAGCATTTAACCACACAGCTGTTTAAAGAACAATATAAGAAATCAGCCTTTAAAGTTTATGATTTCAGGCATTTCTCATGCAGAAACTATCTTTAAATCCTTAAAAAGTGGTGTTTTAACATTGAAAATGGGGAAAATAACAGCATAGGATGGTGTGTAGATATATAAAGGTTAGTTTAGTGCAATAAAATAGATTTTTTAAAATTTGACATTTTAGCATCTTTTGGCCATTTTCTCTGAAACACGATTTGCGACGAGTGACTGGTTTGACTTGTCTTTGCCACAAATGTTTTCCTCCATAGCCCGACTTCAAAAGACAAATTTTGCATTATGAATCCTTTTAGATGGATTGACTGATTGATGTACTCTAAAAGTAAACGGACCAATGCTTACATAAAAATGTTTTACAGTTAATGATTTTTTTAATAACAAAATATATAAGCTTACACAGATGCAACTGGTTGTGGGAAAATCCTACATTTGTTGCAGTCTTCACAATATGAGGCCTAGCTTGTTTTGGGATTTAAATGTACAGTACATGAATGTATTATGCAGGCCTGTCTCTCATAAACTTGATATTCAAGAAATGTGTTTGGTACCCAGAGAGCAATTTCTGGCTCATCTCTGCTGAATAATGTGTAATTCATATTTGTGTATACATTCTAATAATGAATTTTATATGCACTATACAAGTGCACAACTATTGACCATTTAAAAAAAAAATATATATATTTACCTATGGAGATTTTAAAATGAAATTCTCTCTCAACCCATAAAATAATAGAAGAAAAATGTGTATTATATATCTTATTTTGAAGGATGCCAATTTTAATGTAGTGTATAATTACAGTACGATAGCATTTCATACATTGCCATTTTAGTCCTCTGTGGGTTATTTTTATTCCATCTGATGAGTATTTATAAAAAAAAAAACTTTTTCCACCCGCTTCTATTTATGATTTTTTTTTAAAAAGAAGGGCAAACAATTTATTTTATTTGGCCTTATGGTATGAAAGGCCCAGGAATGTTCTACTGTACATTATTTTATGCTGCATTAATTCTTTCAATTCGAAACAGAGTACAGTAATAGGAAACATGCTGTATTACTTCATAAGTGGACAGCTACTTGATTGTGATCAGTAAGATCAGGTTGTTTGAATCCCTTACAGGCAATTTACAGTATGTTTGACATGGGCAAGACACCTTATTTTTCTCTCTTATCAGGAGTGGTAGGATGTAAAATGTTGATATTGAATGTGTTTGGTCTATCCCTAAATATTCATGTGAAACCTGGGAGCAGAAAAGCTTATAGTCCAGTATGTAAAAAAGCACTTCAAAAATGCTAATAATAAACAATGTAAAAAAAACAAAACAATTTGTACAGTACTTGGAAACTTATAATTTATTAAATGCTACTACAGTACATTGACATTTTACATGAAATATACTGTAAAGAAAATTGTTCTTGGAAACTTACATATTTTATTAAATGCTACTACAGTACATTGACATTTTACATGAACAATAAGTAGAAATGATGAAAAAAGCAAAAAGTAAACATTCTTGTTGTTCTGTACATTCATGATGGTAAGTGGAAAGCAGTACCAGTTGAAGGCTATTTTCAAAAATATATCTTCAAAACACTTATGTTGTGATAGTTACTAGGCGAGACTTTTTTTAATACCTTGTTTAGCAAACCCGCTGCCTGCCAATAATGGTGATTTTGAATAAAGTGTCGCTCTATGTTTTGTGAACCTACCGCCCATGAATAATCATCATATAAAATGGTTAAAAAAAATAATTCAAATTTGACATTTCCTAATGAAGTTACAAGCGTTTAAACACACAGCTGTTCAAAAACCAATATGAGAAATCTGCCTTTTAAAGTTCATGATTTCAGGCATTTCTCAGTAGAAACTTCCATGAAATCCTTTCAAAAAGTGTTGCTTTAACATTGAAAATGGGGAAAATAACAGCATAGCATGATGTATAGAGATATATCAAGGTTAGTTTAGTGCAATAAAATAGATTTTTAAAAATTTGACACTCCAGCATGTTTGACCATTTTCTCTGAAACACGATTTGTAATAAGTGACTGGTTTGTCTTGTCTTTGCCACAATTGTAATTACCAGCATTCTGAAGAACCCATCAAGTATGAGACTGGAATTATTTCAGTTCACTATATATGTTTCTATGGATACTTTTTATGGCTTTATTGTTCAGTCCTTGGCACCACCCTATATTTGCTGCCATTTTTCATAAATCCAATTAATAATTGACGTAATTCATATTGATGCTCAGCAAATCTGTAAACACACATACATGCAGTAGACTAAAGTTTAATGTACTACTCGTACAATGTCCAATCCGAAATAAATTATACACTGATGTGCCTGCTGCTATCATTAAAGATGCAGTCTTAAATGCGTTCAACATCTTGTTGGTGATCCCACATACATACTGTATGTCGTGTGAAATTAATAACAGTCTTGTGTTTCTTCCCTTTAGGGAAGATAAGTGGCTTACAAATGTTTTTAAGTATTTTTTCAAGTATTTGACTTGAAAAAATGAAAAACCATAACCATCCCCCCCCCCACCACATGGGACTGATCATGTACCCTGATTATAAAACAACCCACCATGTATTTGCCAAAAGGAATACTATATATATATTATGGATCTCCTAACAAAATTTCTTCAGTAAGAGTAATAGCAACAGTCACACATGTTCATAGTTCCAATCAATAACCTTTTTTTTATTTTCAGTTTGCCATTTCGATGAGATCCCAGAGATAATTGGTGATGAAAAATGCAGAGTTCTGTCGTGTATCCAGGGAAAACGGACGGACATCTTTAGCGGTTGATACGTCTGAAGTAGCTATTAAGGGCAAAATTATAATTTCAATTTTCAACAGGCCATTGGGAAACGTCGAGACAGAGTAATGTTGGCATTTGTATAATATTATAATCTTTGTAATGTGGTACCATAATTCTTGGATATTATTACAATAAAGTGTATTTGCAGTTTAAACATGTACTTTCAGTTAACGGTGGAAAATAACTCAAAATCCAACATGGAAAAAAAATGTTTTCACCAATTTAGACATTTTACTACAAAATCCATATACTAGCCAAATGTCTATGTTAGTCTTGTGAAAGGATTGCCATATAGTAAAGTGATTTAAGTTCACTATTGCATACCCTTGGCTCTAAATTAAATAAATAAAATTGGTTCTCATTTTGTCATTGCTAACTTTTTAATATTTCATAGCTTAAGTAATAATAATGTTATATTGGCTAGTTTATTTGAGAATATATTACTACCCATAAACATGGAAACAAAAGGATACATCCTGTGATTTCTTCTGGTGGGCTGTCATACTCCCAACAAATCTTGGAGATGTTTTTGTACAAGCTTATATTGTATCTAATAAAAGAAATTAACAGGTATGAATGATGTTAGTTTGTACAGTAAGTTTGTTAGTTTTGTACTTTTGTACAAAATAGACAAAAACAGACTATTGGAAATTTATAGTTTTTCATCGGCTCTTTTATCGCAACTAAACCCTCACATTTGTTTTACCTTCTACATAATATACTCAAAATTCTTATGTCTATGATTATTGTCCACAGTGACTGACCCCGGAATTCGAAACAATCGGGGACAGGAAAGTCAATTGTACAGATGGAGGGTCCAAACCACCCAGCACCACCATGGTTGGGACTGATGCACAACATTTTATGTATGGTATTTCTAGATGTCCTGGTTTTTTTTTTCTATTATGAAAAAAAATTTAGTGGGAAGGGGGCAGCTGGGCCATCCTTGAATCTTCCTATGGTTGAATTTCCCATGTGGAAATATACAACTTTGTTTAGATGCCTGAAATAGCCTACATTATCAGTTTTTAAAACATTGTCTTCCTATTACTGATGTAAAACACAAATCGGAATAACAACCTTGTTTGTGGAAGAACTTCTGTAGTTTCCTCGGTGACCTTTGCCTTAAGTAATTTCAGGCCGCCCTTTTCTTCTTCTCTTGTCTGTACAGCTTCTTGAACTGACGTTTATTGACATTAAGAAACCATTAAATTCAGTATGTTTATAGTAACATACGTGCTATTGTTTTTTAGAAACCATGGGATTTACTGATAAAGTTTGACACAGAGTACAGTACAAAACAAAGTTTGAAGAATGTGATGAAGCCATCATTGTGATAAAGTTATCATGATATATTCATCATGATAACTTTAGCATGTTAGAGAAAACCGTTCATATAGAAACCATCCTCATGATCTATTTATGCTAATGTGTGTAGTGTTGCATGAAAACTACCAGAAGCACAACCAAGGAGGTTGGGACCTGTTTAATAAACTGAAGGCTGATTGGTTGAATTCGATCTCATGAATTAATTTATCACGTTAACCAAGGTTAATCATGATGAATCAACATGCTCCACTAGATCACAAAGGTGATTAAACTGAGCACGTTATTTGATTCTGGTAGGTTCACATGAAGTGATTGGCTTGATCATGATCCCCTAGATCATGAAAAACTCTGAATGTGAACCTAGCTATTAAAATATTTCAAATTTTGTTCATCTTCAGGAAGAAAGATTTAAACAAGGATCTAAACAATGAATCATGTTTGTTTCCATTCTCCAGTGCTCACTACCGTATATTCTTGCATATATAAGGCAATCCGTGTATAGTCGACCCCCGAGCTTGAGAAGATTTTCGGCAATTTTTGTATGTCGGGAGAATAAGACGACTCTCTGTTTCACTGTCGGAAATCCTATTTTTTGCTGCTTTTTATGGTAATCTAATCTTCCAAAAACCATTTTATGGGCTTTTAAATGTTCATAAAAATCTTATTTCCCTGCATTTAAAATTGAGTTCATTCATACTAAGCTAGTAGCTTCAATTCAGTAGAAAATTTGCATGTTATGATTGATCCGCACATAAGATGGACATGATTTCAAGATCAAAAATGTGTATAATGCGTTGTGCGTATAAGACGTCTTATATGCAAGGATACATGTTACTAAATCTCTTATACCCGATTCACACGTG